GTATGCTATACGAAGCCCTCCCTCCCCCTGCTCGACCTCCACGGCAGCTTTGGAGGAGAAAGTAGGTGGAGTTGCGGTTGTGTCGACTGGTCTCAGAATCATATACTAGAGAAACAGCCGTGACGGTGAGGGCGGTGGTATGAGAAGGGGGAAGGGGACGGCGGTCTCATCCAGTAAGGGGGGGGCATCAAGTGGCTGCCCTCACCCCCACCCCCTAGACTGCCTACACTCCCCCTGGCGCACAGGTTTCTCGAAGTACGGGACCCCGTGAGCCAGGGGGAGTGAAGGCAGTCTAGGGGGTGGGGGGTGAGGGCAGCCACTTGACGTTGCATCACAATGCCCCCCCCTTACTGGATGAGACCCGACCGTTAGGGTGGGCTTTTAGAGTGATGATGATGATGGATGGTGGAATGGTTCGCAAAATTTTGGAAAGCGCGAAACTGTGGAGGTTGACCCAGCGCGCATATTAACTGACCCAGAGGATTTTGCATGGTTTTGTTGCCAAAACGGACTAACGACCCAGAATTTGAACATTGGATAGCGCGCGTGGTAAGCACTTTCACCACATAACCACATTAGACGTACTTGATTGCGCATGCCGTTGCCTGCACAACTTACACTTAATCTTACGCCAGCCTGCGGAATACCGGCGATCGCATTATTACCGTGGCAAGTAACTCTTGGAAATTCCTATGATACGCACCAATCTTCCGTAATGTTCCTGATATCGTCTCCTGATTTCCAGGAACCTATCTTTTTCTTTTTTTTTCTCTGGAAAGTTAGCATATTTTGAGTTGCGGGTTCGCGAGTTCGACTCTGAAGCGCTCCTGGCGAATCATCACTCTAAGTCGAGCCGCGTGAAGCGCTCGTATGGGGCCACAAGAGGGTAATGTATACAATGTTAATCCATTCCCTTCTGGAATGCGCCACGCCTTCTACTTCCGTTCAAAACTTCGAAGGGACTTTTTTCTCATCGTTGATCGGGAGGTTAGCATACGGCCCATGGAAACGCCCTCCAATTGAAACCCTTTTATCCCGCGTCCTTCACGAGGTGAAAGTAAGTGCTTCGCGTGTACCTGGGCGACCACCTGGCCCCGTGCGCGACGTCACGCCTTCCCCCCGCAGTGCTCTCTTTGGCCAGCTGTGTGGTGAGGGCCTAGCTGCGGCGGCGGCGGTTGGGTGGTCGACTCGCCGCCGTCGTCGCATGTATCGAATTATCGATCGGCTCGAAGCCCGGGGCAGTGGCTGTGTCCGCTATTCGATTCTATAGTTGGCCATTTCCAACGCATTTTTTCTTTCAATTAGAGCGCTCTCGACGGGTTATTGATTGGCCGGGGCGAACAGCCGAGGGGTTCTCGCCATCGTCGTGTTATGTGTAGAAGCGTAGGTTGGTCGACTGCCGGCCTTGGTTTCAGTTTATCTAACGTTGACGATCTTCATGGATCATTTCGATGTTCATATTCACTGTAGAAACAGCTCCAAGTCAATCTGGACGAATTTCCTTCTTGATTTGCTCTTTCGCAATCATGTTAACTCTTTGGTTCAGCTTCACTAGCAGCCGCTCTTTTTTTGGCGCAGTGTACCTCGGGGGGGGGTCTTCGAAGACACTAGGACTAGTCTATACGCAAAGTTGAAGTTCCGGGCAATGCATTCGCTTAGCACCTGATATTCCCTCTTTTCTTCAAGCTTAGTTCTAACTGAAAGTTATCGTGATATCTGACCGCAGAAGTTATGGGCTGACATCCACCCCCCCAGGGTCAACCCTACGTTGTTACGAGTAACAACGGGGGGTCGTACCTGGTTGAGTTTGTAGGAGGGGGGTCGTACCCACTTTAGTCGCTCGAAATCACGTGTGGGATTGAGGTGAAACTAAGATTTCGTGGGTAGTAGGCTGGGCGAGTGGAGGGCGCGTAAGATAAAAATTTGCCGTTTTACGGTGGAGTGGGGGAAGTAGAAGAATTTTCGGTGATATTTACCGTTTCAGAGTGACTATATACCCCGCTCGCTCGACGGCATTTTGGAGGAGAAAGTGGGCGGGGTTTTGATGGAAGATGGAGATGGTGGAGGTGAGGAAAAGGGGGTCGTATCAAATCCACGCTGGGGGGGGGGGTCGTAAAAATTTTTCGAAAAGTAGCAACGATAGGACTGACCCTGTCCCCCCCGGGGGCACCTGGGGCAGCTTTTTTCAGGTGTAGTATTACAGTGTGTTTGATGCCTATATCTTCTCTTGATTTCGAAATTCACTCGGGATTTAATTTTTGTCGGTTTGAATTGTCAAAATTCGTGTGGTGAACGTTTGGCTGCTTTCGTAGCTCTTCAAAACAACTTATGAGCCATTGATTTTCGAGGTTTTGTTCACGTTCGTCGGCGAAGTTGAGCACGTTGACCCGATCGATCCGAAAAACGTTCTTAGTGGATTTCACATAAATGAGTCACACAACTGCCGTGACACAGATATTTGACGGTGATGTTCGTGCGCCCACATCGATCCGTCCGACGTCCTTTCCTCCCTTTTTCGTGTTCAACACTCTTCTCTCATCCTTGCTCCGTGACGAATCCCCTTCACTCAAACCATTGACACATTCCTCTCCACTTTGTTGCCCTATTTCTGGCATTTTCTGCGAATAAATCAAATTTCGTCCTTTCCTCAGGAATGCACGGAGAGGGCTAAAAATCAATATGGCGCTGTTTACCTGGGGCCGTATGCAGCAGTAGCCTGCCGGGGATGAATCTTCAACTTTGAGGATCCATACCCGGCCTGCTTTGCAGCCCCTGAGGGAAACGCGGGTGTGATTTGTTGGGACAGAAAGCGACTTTTCCGCTTTTCGCAGCGCGAAACTTTTTCGCTGCAGGAACTCCAGGTCCACTGCTGATCAGTGGTGGACCTGGGGTTCCCGCAGCGAAAAGTTTCGCGCTGCGAAAGCGGAAAAGTTGCTTCTATCCTAGGGAACTACACCCGGAAACACGGGAGTGATGCAGTAGCTCGTACAGGCGACGAGATCCCAACTTTGCGCAAAGGAGAGCCAGAAAAGGTGTGAGCTAATTTCTGCGCAGTTTCTTTGATTCTTTTGATTTGAAGAGTTTGGCACGGGATGGTGCGAAGTAGCAGTTTTGGGTCAGAGGATGAGAACTTCCAGGGAGGTAAGAAGCTCTCAGATGATGAACAACTTCTTTGTGGAGCAAGAGGTTTTCGCATTCCTTAAGAAGTCTTTAAGGTCTGAAGCTTCTTCCCCTCCCCAAGCTTAGGTGAATATTCTCCTTCTTGCTTGGCGTGGATGCCCTATTTCAACATGCCCCATTCCTCATGTAAACAGCGCAATTGTCATTTCTATTACTTTACATCAGTCTTATGCTTCGTTGCTTGTTCCAGGATATACATATATTTCTTTTCTCATTTTCCTATTCGTCTGGACATTCATGCTCTTTCTAGCTTTCTTTTGATTGATTTTGTAGTCTTGTATTCAATTGTATTCAAGGATTTTTATTCAGGCGGAAGATAGAGAGCTTGGCCAGAATGAGTAACATGACGCAAGAGGACGTCTCGACGGGCCTCCGAACCGTTCAGCAAGGCCTCGAAGCTCTTCGTGACGAACACAACAACGTGGGAGCAACGATTGAGAGCAGTCTCAAAGGTGAGGATTGTGAATATAGCATTTTTATCTGCACAGTCTTCTCTGTTTTTATCAGTTAGCATCCATCTCTAGGATGCGTAATCAAAAAGATAAAACCTTCATAAACAAATACCTGAACGGTTCGTTTCGCTCCTTCCTCAGACGCACTTGATTATTTCGTCAATCCCCGGAGCTCATCAGTGAGTTGGGATTGGCGAAGTAAAGGCGCAACACGTGGTTTTTATGGGGTGCCCCGATCAGGAATGAAACCTCGAGAGACGCAAATTGCCGCAGCATATCAAAGAACAATCGAGAACTTATGAAACAGTACCAGGTTTTTTCAAATCCGCCACGAAGGAAAACCTCAGGTTGGGACGACAACACTGATTTCCCTCATGATTATGAGCTCAGTTGGGAAATATTTTATACAATGTTTTCAACTGAGCGTTTAGCATGAATATAAAATTGCTCTGTAGTGAATACAAAGAAGCATGTTTGTGTGTCGTTGCAACAGCGCTGTTGACGAAGAAGTGAGCCTGCAATATCCTTCACCCATTACTTTGAGCGTAGCAACATCTGACTGATGGGCTCCGAACGCCTCACTAAAAAGGATAAATTGGCTGCCTTTATCACGTTTCTGAGATGGGCAACGCATCCGACTTCGTTCATTCTCAGAGACGACCGCATGGGTATGGCGTTATAGTAGTAGTTGGCTCCATTAATATTACTATTGTAACTATTTTTGTGTTCCTTTCGGTTTCTCTGCTAGCGTAGCATCGGCTTGATTTCCTCCTCTGTGCCCTTATGCTTTTTTGGCGAATTCCATTGTACAAATTAAATTGCCTTGCGAGTGATTACCGTAGCCCTATTAGGTCATTCACATGCATTCGTCTTTTTGTCTATCTACTTGACCACCACATTACGCAGGTGTCAGAAGACTAATGAATATTGCCCTATTCATTCAAATTAAATGCATGTTTCTAGAAGTAATCAAAAATCAATCAGGAGCGCCGCAACTTAGTTTAGAGAAAGGTAGTGATTCTTTTTTTTTTTCGACAGTGTCCTATAGTCAGGGACGGGAAAGGGACGTACATGCGGACTCAAATTAGATTCGACGTTAAGCGAATTTATCGCCTTTAAAAACATAGAAACATGACATTGGAAAATGAAGTATGCATTCGAATCTTGGTTCTGGTGCTTAAGACACAAATCTCGAGATATTGTGTGTCTATATAGTCACGCTGAGAATTCCTTCCAGATCCTCATGTGAGGGACATCATAGTAAGTGGTTGCTTAATATTTATGCATAAAACACTTCAAATCTTACTGGCTTTGGGCACTTATCAAGTATCAACGCGTGATGTGTCGCGCGTGCCGCACACCTGGCGCAGGATTCTTGAAGAAATGCGGTATTCTAGTTATTGTAATAGTTATAAGCAGTTGCAAATGGCTTTAACATTTGTGACAATGTCAGCCACCGGTGGCTGACAAAGCTCTCACTCGGGACAATGGCATTACTGTGGCTGCAGGGCTTGAAATGGAATTTGGAAAGTTTTCTTCCATGGAAAGAATCTTCATACCCTCGCTCATCTACGCCAGCCCTGGGCAGAGGAAATCTCCCTCCACTCGAATTTTATTGAAGAAAAATCTCCTGACGCTGCTGCTATTGCGCAATCCCTGCGCGGTCGCGAATGGGTTAAAGAAACGGCTTTGTATTTTCTGCAAGCTATTTGGGAATTCATGCCTCGAGGATATGTAACCATTTTAGGAATCAGTGAAGATGAAGCGCCGATGCCTCGCGAAAAACACCACCAGATCTCAGACAACGTAACGAGTATATCTAGTGGACTCGAGGAAGTCACGGTAGAATTTCATCGCTGCCTCTAACTGTTGGCCTAATATTAAATTGAGCTTTGACAGTAGTAATGTTCTATTTATAGATGATGGTGTCGATAATGTCTCATTTGAACAATTTGGAAGCGGAAAAACAGAAGTACCAGGTGAGTCAACAGCTGCTCCTCTCCATTTGGATGATGATGTTCCTTCTATAGTATAGCTTTTTATATTTTAGTTTATAAGCGCATTTTCAGGCCCAACGACGTCGCCTTTGTCAGGAAAACGCATGGCTACGTGACGAGCTGAGCTCTACGCAGATTAAGCTCCAGACCTCCGAGCAGGCTCGTGTTAACCGTTCAGAGCTACTAGTTTTTCGTTTTCTGAACATGTAATTTTTTTTCTTTCCAGCGTGTCGCCACTTTAGAAGAAGAAAATAAGCATCTGAAATATATGAACTCCATAAAACAATTCGACGATGACATTGTGAGTTGCCAAAGAATATTTTAAATGTTCCAATTCCTAGTCTGAGCGCTCACAGGTAGTAGATATCCGACAGGTTTTATTTCGTAATTTTAGCAGAAACGACGTGAAATCTGCACCATCCGAGGCAAATGTGCCTTCCACGAATGACACACTTCAAGACCTTGGTTTTGGTCCTGAGGACGAAGAAGACCTGCAATCTAGTAAGTGCCTCTGACATTCTCAAAATGCCATGATGCAAACTGCTGTCAAATTCTCATCTAAGAACCGAATCTCTCGGTTATTCCTTGGCCTTCGGTTGTCCTCCTCTGCTCTTTCATGCGGAAGATTTATTTTCTTTCTAAAAATTTCGTCAAACAGGGTTTCTTAAGTTGTCGCATCAGCGTAATATTGAAACTCAGAATTGTAACATTGTTAGTTGATGGCCCTGTCTCATACGCTTCAGCTCTGCCTCTCCAGAATGTGATCTTTTGCCCTTGTTGCACATGTACCGCTGCTGCATTTGATCATCCATGAAGCAACTGCATCTGCACCCCCTTACGCGCCCTGAACTTCAGGAACAGCACAGACTTATAATGCGATGAAATAAAGGGAAAAGTGCATCTCCTCATGTGATAAGCTCACAAGCATAGATGTTGTGGCGCTAGGATTTCTGCTAACCATAAGTTCTCAATGGTAGCAACATTGCCCACGCATAAGTCGTAATAATCAACTTCTCCAATTCATTCTAATCCATCTATTCATTATTTTTTGTAGCGATTGAAGATGAAAGTTCTATGCTTTCTTCATTCGATTTCAGTAAGCAGTGTGGAATTGAATGTTTGAGTGGCACGGCTGTAGCGAGGAGAAGCCTATTCTCTGATAGTGACAGTGATTTCTCTCTGATGTGTGTGCTTCGTTTAGGTCAGTTCGCTCAGCCAACTCCGGCTCATTCAATGGCAGCTTCAGCTTCTGTTGGCTATGAGATTCCAGCTCGTCTTCGTACTTTGCACAATCTGGTAAAACTTCGTTCCTCAAGTGCTATGTATATATTTCTGACCATGTGGTATAAAGTATTGGTCGTTTCGCTCGCACTACATTCCGCTCGAATAACTTCCCCAATTACAAACCTGAATTCAGTACCATATGCATTTGACCCTCTTGTTATACGAGGTGTTATCTGTGAGTTAGGTCGTTGTTGAAGTGCGAATTTTGCAGTATTGAATGATTGTCTGTTGTCTGTAGCGGGGAATGCCACTGACTTGTTATTTAGCGTGGGGTGCACTATTTGAGTTCTTTCGCCTTCCCTTACTCACGACTACTACCACACTATTATCCTCTTTAATATTTATGAGTTTTACTGCTTTTGACTTTTGTGTGGTTTTTATAGGTGATCCAGTACGCATCGCAAGGCCGCTATGAAGTAGCCGTCCCGCTCTGTAAGCAGGCTCTCGAAGACCTCGAAAAGACTAGCGGTCACGACCATCCTGACGTGGCTACGATGCTTAACATTCTCGCACTTGTTTACAGGTGGATTTATTTGGCCTTTTCTTTGCTTTATGGAGGAGCAGTTAATCAGCCGATTTTCTGGAATCTTGTAACGTATTGCAAATATGTAATTGCAGGGATCAAAACAAGTACAAGGAGGCAGCTAATCTTCTCAACGAGGCTCTCGCTATTCGCGAGAAGTGTTTAGGAGAAAATCACTCTGCTGTGAGTCTTTTTTTAGTTTGATATTCTGATAACTTTCTTGAATTCAAAATTGCCATAGAAAAATGTTTGGTAAAGGCGGCTACTTAACTATGGTGTTCTGCTAGTAACAGAAATCGACAGTTTATGTTTTAATTCGAAATACTCAGCTCATGCTCCTTTCGTACTCTTTTATTCTTCCGTAAGAAGTTTATAAGCCCAGTAAGTCGAGCAGTTTTTCAGAACATTATAATATCGAATAAATTCGTTAAGGTTTCAAAGGCTTGTCAAATCAGCGATGATTTTCATATGAATCAAAATTCAGGTTGCCGCTACGTTGAACAATTTGGCGGTTCTGTATGGAAAGCGTGGCAAATTCAAGGAAGGGGGGGGGGGGGGCGGGGGGGGTGCTGAACACCGCTGTTAAACGTGCTCTCGAATTTAGGGAGACAGGTTTTGTGCAGCCTGTTCGTCTCAAGTATCGTTTTAGATGTGACGCCTTAATAAACGTTTTTTGATACCTTATTGATATCGAAAACAGTTCAAGTATTGTGAATTTTGCCGAATCTTATTGTGCTTTAGTATGTTTAGTATGGTGCAAATTATTTAAGTTTTAGAGTGGATGAGTGTATGTATTAGAAGCCCAGGTGTTTTGGGAGGTCTACTCATAGTAGTTTTATTGGGTACTTCTCGCGTGAACGTGACTCTTTAGATAGAATGTGTTACTTCCCTGAAGGTGTAAAAATAGAAACAGGCTCTACGAGTTCAATGCAGCCAATAATCAAGCTTTCTGATTACATTCAAGTCATACATATGATCTCAAAGAATAGGAAGTAGACGCACTAATGGTCTTGCAGGAGTCACCTACTTCTCACATTCTCCTCTTGTCTCATTTCGCTTTCTCCATATGCATGTTCTTCCAGGTGCTTGGTCATGATAACCCTGATGTCGCTAAGCAGCTAAATAATTTGGCACTTCTTTGTCCAGAACCAAGGAAAATATGAAGAAGTCGAGCAGTATTACAAGTAAGTGCAATGATTTAATTTTTTTGCCGACTTCAATATTCAACGTGGAATGATGTCTTTCTAGACGTGCATTGGAAATCTATGAAAGCAAATTAGGACCTGATGATCCGAATGTCGCGAAGACTAAAAACAATCTTTCTTCGGCGTACTTGAAACAGGGCAAATATAAGGTATGCGTGGTTAGCTTTCCTTTACGTTCTCTTTCTTCGAAAGTCCTGACTATTAGTACTTGATATTTTATGATTGGGACCTTAATAGATTTTTACCTGCATTTTTCTCCTCTCATAGAGTTATGCCAGGTCATAATTTTTCTTTAGCGCCGATTTGACGCAGTATGATAACTATTATAATGCCGAACATAGTCTCTTTTTATTACCATTAGCCGGTCCATCGGTCCCTTTTATGATTTCCATATATGGGCCGTGCAATAGGCATTCATGTGCAGTCATGTGGTGTCGTTACCATCAATATGCATTGGCTCCATTGTGATCTTTTCGGTTATTGGAGTACCAGCAACTGAAGTGTTCGCGAAAAATATTGGTCAAATATTGTTTAGTATTTCACACACGCAGAAGGTCGATTAGATAAACTGCATGAGATGTTCAAACAGTATTTCCCTCTCACCCGTGTGAATCAGATTCAGTTCTTAGCAGTATTTGCCATTTTCCAATCCTATTAGCAGTGCAGATTTTGCGGCGAAGCGTTGTTGAGCATTCACGATTTGTTTACGAATGTCTTTCTAATTGACTTTGACGCGCAGCACACATGTCTCCCCATCCCGTTAGCTCTTCGTAGTGATGCACGCATGCACTGATTGCCTTTGCCCAACCCATTCCCAACTCCACTCGTTCCTCGACTACTCAGCAATGCATTTTTACTTCAGTGCGCTCAGAACTCAAGTTTTTACGCAGAATTGCTAGGTTTCCATATCATCAAATTGCCTTTCAGGAAGCGGAAGAGCTCTACAAGCAGATTCTCACCCGAGCACACGAACGTGAATTTGGCAAGGTATGTGATTACAGTATAGGTCAGATGTGTGGATGTTTCACAACGGCTCGTGCGTCTACTTCCATTGAGCGCAAAACTTCTTTTCAGATTGGAGAGGACAACAAACCAATTTGGCAGATCGCCGAAGATCGTGAGGAAATCAAACAAAAAGGCGGGGCTGATACGGGTCCGATTGCTTACCACGATCACGGTGGCTGGCACAAGGCTGCCAAGGTTGACAGGTTGGTCGTCTGGCAAACTAATGTGTGGTTGCACAAATTCATATTTTGCGTTAAAATTTATCTGTGTGATCATCATTTAGTCCAACCGTGACGACGACACTCAAGAACTTGGGTGCTCTATATAGGCGCCAAGGCAAGTATGAAGCTGCTGAAACACTGGAGGATGTTGCTTTGAGAGCTAAGAAACAAGTAAGTGTTATTCACAGTTATCTAAACTGAAGTACCTGTTGAAAAGATTTCCTATCCTACTGAATTGGGCATTTTTTCTCCATTTGACAAACCCAGTCAGTGTTTTGCTGCCTCTATAACTTATAGTTTTATCTTCTTTAATTCTTTGTGTGAATAATAGTTGACGCTGATGCGGTCATAACTCCTAAGCAGTGAACATTTGGCGTTTACCGCTTCTTCCTGCTCCTAAACTTGTATGCGTATCGTCTCTTCACCAAGCGCTGTGTCGTGAAGAATTGCGTACTGTACGCAGAAAGTTTGTTTGCTATGTTGTAGGCGCAGTATGCAGCGCAGCATGAGCGAATGAATAAGCTACTCGGATGTAGTACACGAATACAGGTCTGTTTCGCAAGATGGCCTCTAGTCGTATCGTATTTGTAGTGAAATGGTTGCACCATCTATCTAGAAGTTCGATGCCGTCGAAGCTATTCGTTTCTGTTTTGTGTGGGGTAGTAAAGCATACAGAGTTGGTCATAGTAGCTGGCAGGCAGATCCTTGTTCGTTTTTTATCGTCGTTGAACTTTCATTTCTGGTCTGTATCGGTTGCTCTGGATTTATAAGAAAGGCACTCGCCGAAGGTGTTATGACCGCTCTGATTTATGTATTGTCTGTCTCATACCTTATACATTCGTGGGACCAACTCGCAGCTAGGATAACTGCAAATTTCAAGCAGCAAATCTCCTTTTTTGCGTGTTTTTTTTTTGCTGATTGCTAAATAAGCCAATTGGAGTTGAGCAAACTTATCGAGACAGACTATACATTCGCATTTATTGGAATGCCCGCTTGATAAGAGTGTACTCAAGCCTGCATGTCATTTTTCTTTTCGAATCACTCGCAATCCTTCATTTTGCTTTCTATTGTGCAAAAATCTGAAACTACGCGCGCGACGTCGCTGCGTCACGCGTGCTCATTCGATGTCACGAATGATAGTATGTAAAGAAGGCGACGTCGCGCAGCGTAGTAGATGCGACCGTTCTGTGTTGTGATGTGTGTCGCTTTACAGCAGGAGCCGTCTTTGCGATCTGCAGACGATATCATGACTTCATCGCAAATATCTCGCATGACAACGAGCCATTCGTCGTCGGGTCTGAAGTCGAAGCTGATGAACGCACTCGGTTTCAATCAATAATCATCGTGGGCGCGGCTACCACCAGCCTCACGGGTTACTGTCTCCTATCTCGCTTCTGTGCCTGCTGTCCATTCTAAAGGTACATTCTACTCGTGGGCCATTGCTCGTTGTATGTAGTTTATTGTAAATTATCGTGTTGTTGTGTTTTATAATTTGGGTTTCTCTGGCAAGAGAAGATATGCAACAAGCCTTTAATCCCCTTATTCACTATCGAGTAGAAGCCTTCAGTTCGCCATACAAAAACATTTCTTACAATAATCGAATTCGTTTATTCGCCTACGAATCTTTTTTTGTCAGTTGTCCAATTTCGCTCGCCGAAACGGTGCGATTTCTCGAGATTAATCTACAGTCAGAGTCTAAACTCACTAGTATTTCTTGATCCCCGTCTCTTATTCAACCAAACAACTGTGATAGTTCCTGGTTCTACTACAATGAATAATAATAAATAAATCCAAGTCGTCGTGTTGTGCTTGTGTTGTGATTATCAGATATATTAGACATGTGAGAAATACTCAGCGTGAGCGTAAGAGTCTCTCGTAACCTTGTATATGAATATGTGTTCCCCATGTTCAGGGGAGGGAGTGTTTTCGCTAGGACAGAAAGTGACTTTTCTGATTTTCGCAGCCCGAAACATTTTTCCTCTGCGTAACCTAAGGTCCAACGCTGATCAGGGGCCGGGTGCAGCAAGCCGGGGCGAGTTATGGTCCCTCAAAATTCTGCATCTCTGGACGCTTCCCCCTATTCCTGATCATGAGGATTGCGTCATTCGGAGTAGAGACGCAGGGTTTTGGGGACCATCCCCTGGCCGGGGCTTGCTGCAACCGGCCCCAGGAGTGGACATGGGGTTCCCGTAGCGAAAAAACGTTCTGCACTGCGAAAAGCGTAAAGTCGCTTTCTGTCCTAACGAACCACATTCTGGTTAGGGTCGCAGTTATACTCAGCAAACGACTGGGTGCCGCTTATTGAGAGCGTGGAAATTGGGATGCTTGAAGGGGTGTGTTTCTGAAAGGTATTCATGTCTGCTATTTTCAACCTCTCTACTTGATCACCACGCTTCCAATAAGCAGCCATAGTTCGTTCTCGGACAAAACCAGCGCTCCTAAGCGGTTTCAGCAAACCAAAAAGTTTTTTTTTTTTTGGGTACAACTTAGGAACAATTTTGAAGGCTACTGCTAACTTCTGTCTCCGGGACGGTGTCCATTCGAAAAAAAATGCTGTGAACAGTCTGACAAAAAGGAAACGTAGATGCACTTGAGGGCACATTCCACGATAATAGAGCCATATTACCGTTCAAAGACGAAACACTACGTGCTAAGTAAGTCTGTAATAAAAGAAGAACGAAGCCGTAGTGAAGACCAAAAATCATTTTTCGTGTGATGGACGGGGCTACGTGACAACCAGACACTTTAGGTGCTGAGGGGGAAAGAGAAAGAGGGCGGAGTGAGACATCGACATCGACGCTCCGCCCAACAACTGAAACGCGCGATTGCTTAAGGCATGACACTCTGGCCGTATCAATCCTTCCCACGGCGATGCATCCACGCCCCTGAATTCAGTTCCCCTCAGCTTAGGGGCGACGGCAAAAAGAGGTTGCGTCACAGGACCGCATACCTCTGATGTCCTGATCTGCCGGACAGTTTAGAGCAGCACGACCCTCAGCACAAAGAGCTGCTCAATCTGTTAGCGTTTCTGGATTGTTCGCGCTCTGCTCTAGTCTGCAGCAGATAGAAGATAGAAACACAGAGTTTATTGCGGTCCTATGATCGCAACTTCCTTGTTCCCCCGCAAGGTGGGTGAATCAGAGTTAGGCGGCACGCATCTTCCTCGGGGAAGGATCGAATACCGCCCCTCTTTGCGAGTCAAGCTGCCTCACTCACGGGAGGTACTGTTTCAATGAACAGATCGTGGAATGTGTCTTTAAGAAGCTGTTGTAGCCGGTACCCTATGTACTTACAATTGGCTTGACGCAGAAGTTGATCCGGGCGTAAGGTATGCTTCCCGAAAGGTTAGGGGACGAAAGTTCCTTTAAATTTTCTCTGTAGTCCCAACTGGGATTGTCCTGATAAAGGGCCTACATCTAATATATGTGTGTAGCTTAAAGTAAGCATGCATTGAAAATAAAGAAACAGTATCGTTCAAAACAAAAAATTTAAAGGGACTTTCGTCCCCGCAACCATTCGGGGAAGCATACCTTACGGCCCCCGGTGTGTTGTACTGTGCACTGTTTGTTAGTGCTAGCACGTGTGTGTCCGATTCAACTGTTATTCATTTCAGATGGCCGAGCAGCGTAAGATGGAGAAGTCAATTTTCTAAATTCGTCCACAAACTCGATTCGATTCCTTTGTGATCTCCGTCCTGTCGCCATTCCAATGCAACGCCGCCCAGTGTTCGTCGCTGTCGATGTCGTTCGCGTGGACACTTCCAGTCTGAAGCGAGCGTCGTCGTTCTGATATCTTTTGTTCCATCGGTTTCCGATCACAGTTGTCTGCAGCTATCATCGTGCCTTATGTAATGCTGTCGTCTTCTATATTCTGAGTCGAGAGATGCTTCTGTGCCGTCGCTGATCATCATCGTCGTCATCGTGGTCGTCATCGCTGCGCTGCGCTTTGTCGTATTCGTCCATCGCTACCCGTACACGTTGCTTTTGTCTTCGTAGATGTGTGCCGAAAGGACTGCTGCTGTTGCTGTCAGTCCACGTAGTGATCCTGGCCAGACGTCCTCCTCGACCTCAAAATATACTGTGGGGACAACTGTGTCCGAGACCCCCCAACAATGATTGTCGTTTGTCCACGACTCACTTCTAGTCCCGAGTCGTTGTGAATGTGGTGGTTGTGTCTATGTATGTGCGCGTTGATAATTTAGAGCCGAAGCTGTAATAACTGACGAAGTGATCCGGTCCGATCCTTCATTTAGTACATGTAGATCTTTTGGGTGTATGTATCCGTACATTTCACCCAATCAATTCTGTTATTTTGTTTGTGAATTGTGAGCCTTTTTCCAGTGCTTATGCAAACGTCGCCTTCCCTTACATTCGATTTCAAACCATCGTGTCTTGTGCATCTCTATGACGTTTTATTTTTGTTTATTTAAATATTTTCTACGTCATTTATTTTCGTAGCCAGCATTTGTTAATAAAGATTGCATCGCGTTAAATTCTGAATCTGTACAAAATGATTGATTCCATGCCACGATTGTGACAACAGATGAACCAAGATAGAAATAGTGAAGGGATGTGGAAATGGTTAAAGGCACGGGTCGTGATCGAATTGGTGTAATATTTATTTTGTTAAAAATGGGAAAGAAGTACGAGGAGGAACCTTAGTGGGGAAAAAGAGAAAAGCACCGTCCAGAACATTTTCCGTAGTAAGCTCAGTTGGCGAAGATATACAGGGCTGTGAAGAGAGGGAAAGCGCGAGAGAGCGCAGATACCACGAAGTGTGAAAATGGCAGC